CAGATTTCTGGTGTGGAGTGTGATTATTTTTAGTACTCTTTGTTTCCCTTTGCTGCATCTGGCCCCTCAGTCCTAAGGCAGAGATCATGGGTGCCAGGTTACCAGTATCTAGAGGCACTAAGACCCCGGTGAACCCAACCCAGACCGAAGGACCAGTGTGATGCCCAAAGTGTATTGTCACCAGAGGCCTTGTGCCCTATCTAGGCCAGAAGACTAATATACCCATGAGCATTGGCCTTCATAGTGGCACAGCTTTCTTGTCCTCCCCCATGTGCAAGTCATGTCTGGAGTGTGAGGTCATCTTCTCCATGACCAAAGCCAATGACTGCTCTGGACAGTCCTGAAACTCCAAGTCCCCTTTCATAGGTGGTTTCCTGTGATTAGGGTTCACTATACCCAAACAGATGGCCAACTCACAGATGCCATTGCCCTTCTGGCTCAGGGGTCAGCCTGTTCCTTTTGGAATCTTCCAGGGAAACAGGCAAGATCCAGTCATGTCACTTATGAGGGAGCCAAGCCAAGGTCTCTCCACTTCTCAGCCTTCCTCCAAAGTATTCTGCTACAGGAGGTTCAACTTGCTCCTGAGTCCAGGCCCAGAAGGGGCTGCAGCCAGAGCCTACAGGTTCAAAGTCTGCCTGTGCAGGCTCCTCACCTCTCATGAATCATGCGGAAGGAAAGAGAATTCTAAGTAATGGCCAACATTGCAGTGCTTTCCTGCATTATCTTTTCAAGGACAGATGGTCTCTTCCATGAAGTGGGTAGGAATTTTATTCTAGTTGTTAAATGAAGCCTTACTCAAAGGAAGTAAGGGCTGTAAAATTCCTAGCACCTGGCCCAGGAACTCTAACTGGAATCATTGCAGCTACAGAAAATGCTGGAATGGCAACAGAACATGGTGGGAGTGTGACAAAGATGAGGTGCCAAAGTGACCCATATTCTACCAGAGGGATACTGTGCAACTTTTTATTTCAGGTATGGGGGATTACATGGCTTTGTACATCCTAGGAAGTGCTCTATCACTGAACTACATACTGTTGACATTCTTTCTGCAACATCATCTTGCAGGTGATAGGAACCCAGAGGACCAAAGTACCTTACTACATGCAAAAGCCATATAGCTGCTCCTAACATATGGCTGAGTATCTCCTTATCACCCCTACTGAGCACCCCAAAGGACCAGCCTGACCATGATGGCCTGGGCGCTGCCTGGTTGAAACTGTCTAGTGTCATAACTACTGTCCAAGACAGGAAACTATTACTGGAATGGGCCAAATAGTCCTGACCTAGGTGCTGGTGGATGATTCCTTAGTGACTCTCCTGAAATATTCCTGCCTTTGAGCCCCCTTAGTCAATTAGTAATTAATGAATGAGTATAACTGAATCCATTTCTGAACTCACAGTCAAATTGGATATCCCTCATCTTGACTTTGATCACTTTGTCTCTTTTTTTTTTAAGCAAGTTCTGAAGGTCCTGAGATTACTGAACTGATTCATCATTTGTTGTTTGTTTGTTAACTTTTCACCCTGAGAACAAGGACTTCCTTTGTCCAGCATATGACACAGCGCTGACACACAGATGGGTCACCCTTTGTGCCAGGAGGAGGCTCCAGTCCCAAAATCAACTTTCCACTTGCCTGCCACAGCCCTTCATTGGTATTTTGTGGGGACACTAGTGTGCCAGGGACTTTACTGCTGTCACCTCTGCCAATCCTTGCCAGTGCAGACCCTCACACCTGGCTGACAATGATAATAGCATCTGTGAGCTTGAGTGGATCTGTCTGTGACATGGCAGGGTGTGCAGATGTTGTGGGGCTGTGTGGGACTTGACTTGATGCCAGAGTAACCAGGCCTTCTTCAGCATCACCCAGCTCTGATACCCACACACACGGGTATTGAGGCCAGGCTGGACAAGGTAACTCAGGTGCCTTCCCAGAGGGTGGTGTCCAGTTGGGAAGGCTGTGACCCGTCACCCCTGGAGTGGTGTCATCTGGTCTAAAGTGAGCTGCATTCCAGGTGGCTCCTCGGGCAGGGTCCTGTGTTCCCTGCTGACTAAACCCCCACCAAGTACCATGTGCAGCATTGGTGCTGCTCCCACAAAGCCCAGGAGCCCAGCCAGACACTGGCCCCTTCCCACATCCCCACCTTCTGCTGCTAACTTGTTCAAAACCTGCCTTGCCAGGTATGCTGTGACACCCAAAGGGCAGAAACGCTGCCTGATGCTGGCAGAGATCCCAGCATCTAATGCAGGAGGCCCCTCATAGATGGCATTTGCCATGGGGCTCCTGGGCTAGACCTGGGAAATAGCTACAAAAGGAATCACATTCTGCTCACAGAATACCCTAGACCTCTCCTATGGCCTTTTCTGACCGCATTTCTCAGGATGTCCAGACACTCAGTGTTCAACAGGTGTGAAGAAGACACATGTGCCCTGCTCACAACACCTGAAACCAGTGTGGTGTGGGCTTGGCCTACCAGTACTGTGTATTAGGCACTATAGCCTAAGACCTTGATAAGTATGTGTTGTAGTCAGGAAAGGAAACACATTTAATACAGGACACATAATTTTATAGGATTATTTTATGATATTTACCCAAAAAGTCAAATACAAAAGAATGCAAGAGATTAGCCACACACTAGAGGCCCAAAGAATCCACCCAAGGGCCTGGAACCCAAAGCAATGTCCCACACAAGTCCAGCTGAAGGCCTAGTGCCCAAGGCAGTGTCCTCCATGAGTCCAGCTAGTGGCCTGGAGCCCAACAGTGTCTCATGCTTGTCCAATTGAGGATCCGCACTCTGAAGGCCTAAAAACCAGTGGTGGAAGCCAGAAAACCTGTACTGGTGGGGTGAAGGATTTGTGCCCTAGGATGAGGGATTGGAGCCAGGAAATGATGCTCACGGTGAAAATTGGAGCTCCCCTGATGAGAACAGTAGCCATTCCCAGCAACAGCAAGGCCCCAGCCTCCTCCTCCAATGAGAACAGCCAAGTTCCCATCAGGAAAACCATCCACAGAATGCTTCTCCTAGAAAATCAATAGCCCCCAATCTTCCCCTCCCATTCTCTTTGTACGGCTATTAGCAACAATCCTCAGGTGGATCTTCCACGCCCAGATCACACTGATTCAGTTCAGCTAGGTGTTACAAGTCGACCATTAGTTAATGCACCACAGTGTGTCTCTCCTAACAACCTGCTGCCGCCTAAGAACGGTTATACATACACTGATGATATTATTTCAGTTGCGAGGCTCACAGGCTTATTCCTGAGCCAGTCCTAGGCAGCTGACCCTGTGTCTGTGGCTATGGCTGAGGCTGGGCTGGGTTTGTCTCCCACTACAGCTGCTTCAGGAGGAGGGCTGTGCAAAAGACAGGTTGGACTTCTATGTGAATTCCCTTCTGTTGCCCATCCACTGGAAGAGATGGCTGGCCTACCCACTGAGAGGTGCCAGGGAGGTAAATTCATAGTGTGCCTTGCAGGTAGGTGAACCCCCACGCATTCCAGCCCCAGAGCTGGCATTTATAGGACAGTGGTTCCAGTGAGTGCAGTTTGTTCACGCCGCCTATGGCACACACTGGCTCATTTGATGGTCACTGCTAGTTATTTGAAGCACTGGGCTGACTGTCCTTTTCACTAAAGAATCTACCAGTTGTCAGTGGAAGAGGCACACGTCTCAGCAGAAGGCTAAACTGGGAGCTAATTGTTCCCAGAGTCATAGAAGCCAGAAGCCAGAAGGACAGTTGAATCTCAAGACCTCATGTGGCTCAAAGGCTTGCTGAGGCAGTGATGCCAGTCTTCTGAAGGTTGTACCCACTTGATTGCTTCAGGGAGGGGCCCAGCTGGGGAAGAACCCTGACTTTGTTAGGAAGGTGGCCCAGGAAATGGGGGGGCAGCATATCCCCAGGGCTGCAGAAAGGGGATTCTTTGCATACTTTTCCCCTGAAGGAGGGGCAGGTTATAAGAAGAGAAAGAGAGGAGGCAAGTGTGGAGAGGAAAGTGGAGAAGCATCAGATCTCACAAAAGACAGGTGGACCTGCCCCAAATGGGAAATCTTGCAATGTCTCTCCAAGGAAACCCATCTGCTCCCCACTACTTGGCAGGGGCTCCATCAAGGGAGAGCAGAGACGGTGCTATTCAGGCCTCCAGATCTCTGAGAGAGCCAGCTACTTGCTCTTCTAGCAGGCAGTAATTCTTTAAGAAAGAATGTATAATTCATGAAGATTGACAGCCTGACCAAAGCCATTTATCTGGACCAGAGGCCATAAGCTCCAGCCCTGGAATCCCCTTGAAGCTAAAGACTCTTCCTATCCAGGATCAAGAGCTTGTAGGAGCTGAGATCCTGGGAAAGGTCAGTGCCACCCCAGAGAGACCCCTCAGGGCCCAATCTGGGGGCAACAGGCCCCTGGGTCTGCAGGTAGGTACTGCAGCCACCCTTGCCTGGCCATGACTCACTGCCACCAGTGCTGACCCACAGAATTCACAGGAGTGCATCTGTCCCTACCTGGACAGTGCCTCCCTCCCACACCCTACAATGCCAGCCAGGAAGCTTTTCAATGAGGTTTCCATTTGCTTGGGGTCTTTGGACCCAACTTACAACAGCACAATTGAGTTCTGAATATGAAGGCAGCAGACAACAACCTGAGGCAGTGATGGCCAGGCCCGAGTTTTCTGAGGTTGTTAGGAGAGTTGATCTTTGCTCCCAAAAGTGTGGGTATGGCATCTGCCTCAGCCCCAGCTAGTAACAGGTCGGTGGCCATGGCCACCTAATTGCTCCAGCACCTGGAGGCCAGCAGATGGCCAATCCTTAGGCCAAGGATCCCACAGCAGTACACTAGACAGCAGCACGGACTTGCTGGGTGTGTCCATCTTCTGTCAGGCCCCGCATCTGTGACTGCCCTCCCCTGGAATCTTCCCAGTGAGAGATGGAAAGTTCCACATCTGAGACCACAAAGCATGTCTGCTGCACAGCAGGACCTGGCTCCAGACTCCTATTTCTGCAGCTCCACGACTACCTGCTGAGGTAGGCAGCCAAGAGGCTGAAGGCCAGCACACCCCAGCTGACACTGTGGCTCACTGCACTGTTGCAGAGATCTGTGTTGCAGCAGGAGGCCCTGGAATAAGACAGACTCTCCTGGAAGCCAGGGCAAGTGTAAGCACATGATTTTATGACAATGGTTTCCTGGCCTGGGGGTCCTGGAAAATATAAGACAAAGAACCATTTACTAAGACCTATAAAGCCCATTGCTGCCCCTCTCAGCCCCTCTCAGCCGGCTCCTGCTTGATCCTTTCCCATTGTTTTCTGACCCCACTGGGACACATTAAGAGGTCAGCAGGGTCAGGGCTCTGTTTGCGACTGGGACTAGGTCTCAGTGTAAAACCTGATCAGGATCAGGGCTCAGTGTGGGAGCATGATGAGGATTCAGTGTGTGAGCACAGTCAGGGGTCAGGGTGAAACCAGATTCAGGGCTCAGCATGTGAACAAACTCAGAGCTTTTATCCACAGCTGACTTTTCTCCCTCTTCCTGTCTGAGAGCCCGTACTAAATGGGAACCATTTCAATCTGGTGTTTCCCATGTGCTGGCCCTGTGCAGGACAGGTCTTGTGGAATACCGCACCACTCTTCCCCAGGCCTTTAGGGAAGAGGCCCCAGGTTGTTCCCATTTTGGAAGAAAGACAGGGCAAGGCAACGGACAGCATTTGTCAGAAGCATTGCTGGCAAATCCCAGCACCTAGATCAGAAGCGAGTCTTCCCAGCCTCCTCCGACCTTACCCACAGGCCCAGCCCTCTGGGTCCAAAGTGCCAGATCCAGATGTTGCAGGAAGGGGACACTCACTGTTCCATGTGGTCAGGCAGTAGCGGGTTTGGGCTACGCAAGACACAGGCTGGAAACAATCCTTTGTAGCAGAGCACTCGTGACACTGCAGCGCCTGGGCTGGGGGAACACAGCTGGGCTCAGGGACCAAAGCCTGCAGCTGCACAACTGCACAGGCACAGGGTCAATTGCGCTCCCTGGAAAGCACCAGCTGACCAAGCTTTTCACTGCTCCTCTAGCTGTCGCCTCACCCTGACAGGTAGACAACTGCTCCCTGGGGTACCCTGGGGCTTGGAAGCAGCTCACTCTCAGTGCCCTAGAGCACTGCAGCAGCAGGGTCCCATGGTGAGGGCAGGAACAGCAGCTATGAGCAGCCAGAGGCCTCATCCCTCCTAGCACCACGGGAGAAGCCCACTGTGGACAGAGGGCAGCTCCTGTCCAAGAGTGACACAAGTGCAGCAGAGAGGAAGGCAGAGGGCCTCTGGCAAGCCCCAACCTATACCCTGGGTCTGCTGTGGGCAGCAGGGCCACATCATTCTGGGGCCCGTCCAGATCCTAAGGATGGCTGCCAGCATCTCCAGGTACCCTGGGTCCCCAGGACTGGGTTCCCATTAGCTCACCTGGCCACGTGATCAGGAGCAGAGGCAGCCACAGCAGGGGAGTCCTCATGGCTGGGCCAGGTGATAGGCAGGTAGAGCACATGGAGCCCTGTGTGTGGGTCTTTATAGCTAGGAATGTGGAGTGCCAGGTTCCTCAGTCACTCCTGCTGCCTCATGTGTCATCGCTGGGGGTGAGGTCAGACAGTAAATACCTCTGGGATCCACCAGGCCTGATGCAAGACTCCACCCACCACTCAGACTCTCCTGTTCGGGGTTCCCCTGGCAACCCTCCCCACCCTCGCCCCTCCTGGGCAACACTGCTCTGCATCTTGCCGGGGCCTGTTGTCCAGGGCACATTGTCCTCTTGTCCCATGCCACAGGCAGGGCCCAAACCAGGAGAAGAATCTTCTCACAGCTCCGGAGCCCGGAATCCGAGCGCCATTGCTGGCAGCTCTGGCTCCTCCTGGCTTCTCTCCTTGCCATGTGGATGGTGAGCTTCTCTGCGCTCTCACGTGGTTGTCCCTCTGATCTCCCCTTCTCATAAGGAACCAGTCAGCCTAAATCAGGGCCCACCATAGAGACCCCACTGTGCCACAATCACCTCTCTAAAGAGCCCATCTGCAAACATGGCCGCCTCTGAGGTCCTGGGGTTTTCAAAACCTCAACCTTTGAATCTGGGGGGACAGCCAGCGCATTTCCTGAAAGAGAGAGGTAAAACTGGGCCCTTTTGCCAACTCAGGTTTGGGGATGCAAATATGGTCACCAGTGGCTCTGTGGGGCTGGATGTTGCTGCCTCCCTACTGCCCCACCTGGCAGGGGGCGCCACACGAGGGACACTCAGGAGATGATGAAGTCTGTTCTCTACCCACAGCACAGGACCTCAGGATGCCCCTATTTCATCTCCCACCAAGAATGAAGAAACACAGCCAATTAATAAGGGTCTAGCAGTATGTAAATCTGACCCTGTTTCAAAACATGGAAACAGGAAGAATAAATTCCACTGGGTGTGAGCGTCCCCAGGAAAGCAGAGCAAATACTTGGGAACCTTCTGGACATCAGCCCAGCCTAGGCCTCCTGATGCATCATCAGTCAGGACTCCCAGGAACAGCTCTGGGAGAGTCTCAGAGCTGTGTGGTTTGTGAGTCTGAGGGTACACAGCTGCTCTTCACTAAACGTACCCACCATGACCTGCAGAGAACGAATCCCTTCAGCTTCAAGGAAGGGCCTAAATGGCAGTCCAAGGACACTGCAGTCTAGGTCTTCTCCCTTGAGGTTTCCACAAGTGGCTAGGACCCCTCCATCTGAGTGGGGGACAGATGATACAAGGATGCATGGAGGTGGCTGTCTGCCCCTGCTCGGCCCCCACCCACTTTGCAGATATATGTATGTGGACTCCAGGGCACACCCCATCACACAGTAGGCACTAAGAGTGAGGCTTACAGCAGTGCTCTTGTCCTCTGTGTGGCCCTGAGCAAATCTAGCCTTTGTATCCTGCTCTGTGCTGTCTCCCAACACACCAGTGGGTTTAGCAGGGCCTGGCTCACTGCCATTCTGCCTTCCTGTCTAGAAGGCCCCTTCCGGGCTAAACCCCCACCACAGGTCCTAGGTCCTAGCCAAGGGCACCCCAGCAACTCTGGAAGTGAGGCACAGCATAGACCAGGCCCTCTCCAAGGTCACTCAGTGGCAAAAGGTGAACAGAGTGGAGCCCAGATCTCCACCGTCCACAGGTTCCTCCTCCATGGCTGGTTGGGGCAGGAGAGGAGTGGGAATCACATTCCTTCCGGCACCAGGAGGGAAAGTATGTGTGGGGATAGATGTCAGGCTAGGAAAGCTGAGGGACAGGATTCCCTGAAAGGACTAGCAGGGTCAAAGGAAAGGGACTCTGTCTTTCTTCCCCACTTCCTGGATGCCAGGTGTGCACTTTGCTCATTCTGTGGACCCAGAAACTGAGGAGACCAGCTGGCCACCTGGAGTGAGGGCTGCATGCCACAGGGTGGTGGGAGTCCTTGTTGGACTCAAGGCCCAGCAGTGAGATAGCCTCCCTAGGTGCCTCAAGCTCATGCCTCACTCCCTTATACAAAGGTACAGCCAGCTAGGAACTTAGCTGGTGACCTCATCCAGCCAAGCATCAGCCTGCTGATGTGTCAGTCTGGCACAGCTCTGGGAGTCCCAAGTGACAGGGAAGCAGCACCCAGAGCTTGGCTGACAACTACACGCAACAGGCCTCTTCCCCGGGTGACAGGAGCGAACAGCGTGCTCCAGCCCTCTACATACATCCCCTGAAACTCATAGTACCCCAGAAGAAGCACTGGCCACTACTACAGCCTCTAGTCAGAGAGCCCACTGCCCAGTCACCCTGTTTGTGTTGTGCTAATTTCTCTGGGTTGGGGGAAGGGGAGATCAGGGGTCAGTACAAACAGGACAGCCCATCCCTAATAAAGCAGTCAGGTGATATCTTGACTCATTACAGACCAGCTAGCTTGGAATTTCTGCTTGTCATCTTTGTTGTGGCTAAGGCAACCTAAAAACATAGCACAGAAAGTTGCTAGGACTGTAAACATAGAAACGGCCTGGAGATGCCTCATCTCCATCTCAGTAACCTGTGGATCTATTACCTCCTGGCCAAAGGAGTCAGCTAAAGATCTGGAACTGGCCAGATAGTCTTGGTTTTCTAGGTGGCCCTGAGTGGCATTAAAGGTCTTTGCAAGAGGGAGGCTGGAGGTTTGGGGAGGCAGAGATGATGAGTTAAGGGCAGAAGAGAGCACAACACACCTGGGTGGCCTCTCAAAGTGTGAAGGAGCAGGACAGATCCTCCCCAGAGCCTCGGCACAGTTCTGCTGACACCTTGGCCCCAGCCTGCAAGGCCCACAGGTAAAGAGTACATACACCTGTGTTGTTTTAAGCTCTTACACTCATGGTCATCCAAAATAGCAGCCTCCGGAGACTAAGCCATTAAGCTTCCACTCTGCTAAGTGGACCCAGAGAAATGGACCCTGTTCTGAGGTTCTGTCCTGGGGGAGAAGGCTCATGTTCCTTATGACAAACACACAGACAGAGTGTGGGGTAAGGGACTCCTCAAAGGGATTCCAGCCCTGGGCCCAAAGGGGCCACTGCTGACTGTGCCATGAGAGACTCTCTTGCTGCTACCTCTATTCCCAGGACAGCCTTGCTTCCAGAGGTCTGTCCCCTTGTCCCCTGGGAGATCCCTGAGCCACCACACCCAGCAAGCAGGCCCGCTGTCCCTTCGTCCAGATGCTGAGTTTGGGTATGACAAACAGCATAGAGTTAGATCTTTGGTAGGGAGGGTAATCTATTCTACCAATCTGTACCTTGGAATTTAATTCGTTTTCATTTAAAGTACTTATTGATAATGAGAGATTTACTTGCTTACTTAACTTACTTATTTCATTTTGATGTTTGATTTTGTGTTCTTTTTGCTCTTCATTTCCTGCATTACACTTGCCTCTGTTTAGTTGATTTTCTTCAGCAATATTCATTTGCTTTTGAGTACTGTATATTCTAGTCATTTTCTTTGTGATTACCGTGGGGATTACATGTAACATCCTAAAGTTAAACACTCTAAATAGAATTTATACCAGCTCAACTTCAATAATATATAAAAACTGCCTTTAGAGCTTGCTCCCACCCCTTTCAGTTATTGATGTCACAAAATTACAACTCTATATATTGTGTCCCAAAAGCACACATTAATCACTCCTTTGTTTAATTCATTACTCTCTTAATCACATTATAAACAAAATTGGGAGTTATAGATCATTGTTACAATAATTTAATTTCATAATCGCCCATGTATTCAGCTTTACTCCTTCATATAACTTTGAGTTACCACCCAGTGCCCTTTCATTACAAGCTGTGGGGCTTCCTGAGCATTCTCACAGGCGGGTCTAGGGTAACAAATATCCACTGTTTTCCTTAAAATCTTAAGACTACCTTAATTTCTCCCTCACTTTTGGAGGACAATTTGAACTTAGGGTTAGTTGACGGTATTTTTTTCTTTCAGCATTTTGACTACACATAGCCCACTACCTTCTGGCTTGCAAAGATTCTGCTGAGAAATCTGCTGATAATCTGGAGTGCCCCTCATATGTAACGAGTCATTTTTCTGCTGCTTTCAAGATTCTCACTCTTTTCTTTTCCAAGATTTGATTGTAATATGTAGGTATAGATCTCTTTAAGTTCATCTTAGAGTCTATTAAGCTTCTTGGACATTTATATTCATTGTTTATAAAAATTGGGGGACTTTTGAGTCATTATTTTTCAAATCACCCCTCTGCCCCTTCTCCCTCTGTCTTCCCATTCTTCTTGGATTCCTACCTTGCATGTGTTTGTCTGGTGCCAGCCGACAGGTCCCTAAGGCTCTGCTAGGGACAGCCCTAACAGAGCCTCTGTCTTACTCAGACACAATAATTTCAATGATTCTATGTTCAAATTCATTGATTTTTGCATCTGCTCAAATCTGCCTTTAAATTTCTCTAGAAATTTTTTTATTTGTTATTGTTCTTTTCAGCTCCAGAGTTTTTTGTTTCCATTTAGATTTCCTATCTCCTTATTGATATTTACATTTTTTGTGACTTTCTCTGCATCTTCCTTAGTTCTTTGAACCCTGTTTTTTTTGTTTTGTTTGTTTGTTTGTTTGTTTTTTCAGCTTTATGAACCCTATTTTTAAAGACAGTTGTTTTAAAATCACTTGTCTGGCCAAATCAAATAGGCAAGGCAAGAAACTAAAAGGAGATGGGAGAAAAAGTAAAAAGAGTCAACAAATGGACAACAACATGACAAGAATAAGTCAAAATATATCAGTTGTAACCATCAATGTTAATGACCTCAATTCACCAATCAAGAGAAACAGATTGGCAGAATGGATTAAGAAGCAAAATCCAACAATATGTTGTATACAAGAAACACACCTAGTGCAAAAGGAAGTCCATAGACTGAAAGTGAAAGGATGGAAAACAATTCTCCATGCATCAGGAGTCCAGAAAAAAGCAGGGGTAGCAATCTTATTCTCAGATAAAGTAAATTTCAAACCAAAACTCATTAAGAGAGACA